ATCAGCTGAAAGAGTCAGTAGAGTAGATTTCAATAGTGTTTTCATTTCTTAAGAAATGAAATACAATTTCTACATAATCACACTTACATTCATGAAGTGTGTTTGATTTGAGTTGGACGTTAAATCGGTAAGGGCCGATAATCGGTAAGCACCGATAATCGTTACCGTTGCATGCCTATATAAGACTTCTCATTTGGCAGAACTCAACATTATTGCCATATTTGTTACTACTCGGAGACTCTTATCAAACAATATCTTTTTAAAACAGAAGAGAATAAATTGTTTCTAATACAATGTTCACAAAAGTTTACATAATGTAGCAAACGAAAGGATAACTTTTACTAATAAAAATATTTATGAAAAATTAAATGTGTCAAGTCTAAAAAAAACTTATTATTTCACTTGCTAGTCATCACTAGTCAACAATTAGCTCGGTGTGAAAAGCTGAATTAGCTATGTAATTTTATCAGGATTGAATCAGACTTCGTTGAAATGTCTGCTCTCGTTCAAAGAAGAAAATGCTGATTTAAATGCTGAAATGGAATTTTTGACTCTGAACTATTGAGAACTGTTTCAAGTTTGATCAACATTTGAATTAAGTTGCTGTTCACACTGTCACTGCTAATCGCTATTAAGTCATATAATTAAATATACGTTGAGCGAGAAAAATACTTGTAGAGGATGTCTATGAAAGATTTGAAACGTTTGACAGAAAAAACAACTTCATCGACTGCTATTGTTTATTTACAAGAAGTTATCGGTCGTGTATGTGTTCTTTTTTTTCTTTCATACGAAATTTTTTTTTTTTTGTTCTACTTCACGAATAAAAAGAATGAAAACAGGTTAATCAATTTAGACAAAATTTCAGAAGAAAAGTGTTGGAGTGTAATCTAATCTCAAAGATTGACACTAGACAAATCACAGCTTGACTAGAGATAATACGATAGAACGTTTTAGATTCACATACTTCACTAATACTTCATATATTTGAACTACTCTATTGCACCAACAGATATTTTCAGCTCTACAAAAAGTTCTTAATCTACGTCGAGTCACTTTTTCAGTGAAAATTTGAGGATTTTTAAGGACACATTCTTCTGTCGATGAGAAGAGTTAACACTAAAACAGTGTGAAAAAAGTCAGCGTTTCATTACACCAACGATCTTCTGGTTCCCCTTTCTTTCCAATGATCTAACCATTGTTTCTCATTGTCTCTTTATATAAACACATTTACTATAGTCTTAAAAATACAAAAACAATCACAATGTATAAAATGAATCTAATCGAGTACAATAGCTTGTTTCTGTGGTGGTGGTTCGGGTACTTGAAAATCGTCTAAAAATGTTTCACGTTTAACTCTTAACATTGTAAACGCATAAATACCCACAACTAATGCAGCAAAAAATATTCCAATAATTCTCGCTCGACGTCGTTCATCTTTTCGAATGATCAAATTTTTTTCATGACGTTCTTCGAAACGTTTAATATACAATTGTTCACTTTCAGATAAAAACTGTAATTGATCTCGTTCGATAATAGGCATTACTTGTGGATCATTTGTTGATTCAACAATTTCCGTTTCATCAGCTTTTTTTCTTACAGAAGGAATATTTTGATTTGATGATGTTAAAGATGTGGAAGCAGACTGAGCAGTAGTCGAAGCAAAACGAATATGTTGTTGAATAAAACGACGAGAAGAATTCGATGATAGTGCAAAACGAATGAGACGATTCATCTGAAACGAAAAAAGGTTCTTGTTAATGAAAATGTAACATTTAAATTTGAGAAATATTAGACGAAAAAAAGCTGCTTCACTATGTACTCACACTTCAAAAATCTATTGAAAATTTTCCTCATAGAAAATGGCTTTTGGATTTTTTTGAACTTTAAAACGCTTGAGAAGGATTCTGTCAAAACAATTAAGATTTTGATACGATACAAAACTCTTATCTTAAAACCTAAGAACTGTTTCCTATAGGGACTAATTTCAAAATCCTTTCTTTTGACTGCGTTCTCAGCACTAAAAGTAAAATGAAATGAAATATTATTTTTCTCGTTTTATTACTTTTTACTAAAACGTAAAGCACGCCACAGATTCTCTATACTACCATTAGACGTCACTGTAAACAAGGATTCATCTAAGACTATTAAGAGTTTAAGTTTTTCGACCTTCAGGAAAATATACACAATTCGAAAGAAGGACGAGACAAACAAAGTTTTTGTTGAATTTTCCAAAATTCGAAGTGAATATTTTCCTATGAAATGAAAGCTCGTAGAGCATTGAACGTTCTTTTATTTGCATTCTGTATTTGTTTTAGTAATGTCTACTAGTCTTGATAGAAGTTTGTTAATGAATCAATACAGAATCACAGACAAAACTACATAGAGCTCGCGTTTTTAACACAAAAATTCCATTTAGTTAGACATCAAAGTTTGAAACGGATATAAAATAGGCTCGTAAACATCCGTAGATCTATGTACTATTTCATGTGTGACACATACTATGCCACTATTCATTTCAAGTCTTGATACTGCCTCATTCATCTAATCAGAAGATTGAAAAAAAAACATATCACTTTGTTTTTCATCTTCTACTAGATGATTTGTTTAAAGGATAACTGCTACTACATCCTATACAGTTTTTATAAGTTTTGTGTAGCACTTCTCCTTGTGAATCCGAGAGGACATGCGGAAGAATAGAAGCCAAAATTGATGTGATAGTTTGAGACTTGTTCTAGTGTTCTCTATTGTTGAGATTTGCTAGTTGCAACAATTCTAACGTTTCACAAAATTTTCAAAAACAAATATTAGATGGATTCATAACAGATGCGAGAAGAGAAGGCTCCTGAATTGTTTTTTATTATGTAACACAGCAGTTCACTTTTTTTAGCAAAAAGTTTTGCTAATATAATCCTCTACTACATTTCAATTGATTATGACGAATAATCGATAGATAGCAGCTTTTCTCCATACGAGCATTATTTTTTCGATTTTGTGCAGAAGGCTAGTTTTTATACATAAATAAGTCAAGAAAATTAGCAGCACATATTATTTAGATTCGTTGCTGAAAACGTTTGATATCGACACACGGTAGTAAGTGATTCAAGGAAAAAATCATACATGAAAATACCTCGATATTTTATCCTTGTAATGGGCAATCCTACTATGAAATATCTAGGTATAGGTGTCACTTCTATTGGGTTATCTAGATATATTGGGCATAGTATCTAGTGCATCCCGATGTCGTCTCAATATATTGGGATGCAAGAAAAGGCTAATGTGAGGAGTTACGGTCCCCGATATAATGGTCTGTTATAGCCCAACCTATCGACTCATCTATTGACAGCATGAACGACGCTGTCTACATTGCACCCCGGGATGTCTGTATGCAGACATCCTGCTTTCTGTAATATACTGATCTACTATTGTTCAATCTATTTACTTGATATGAATAGAACCTTTATAAATTTATGGAATATATGTGTTACATATATAAAAAGAAGGAAAAAAGTTTAGAGACAAACTTGTTTTTGTTCTTTCTCGTGAACCTTAGTAGACAAAATAAATCTGAGGATAGGGTCGTACAGCACTGACTTCGATGTGTGTATATATATTATTCAAAAAAGTTCAACTTAACTTTATCCTGCTTAAAAAAAAGAGTTTTTCAGAAATCCAAGATCTCCAAAATCCTACTTTTTAAAAACCTAATACAACAAATTTTTCTACTATTCAGCAGGATAGAACAAAGACTTCTCTTCAAAATGAGATATCCCGCAGCCGTCAGCAATCTTTTTTCACTGAGTTATGACTTTTACACCAAAAGTCCCACAAACAGAAGTCTCAGCAACGTTATGGAAAAAAAAGAGCTGTGATAGACTGATTATCGCTTTGGAGCCTCTAGTGTAAAAGTCATAATTCAATGAAAAAAGGTGGCTGAGGGCTGCGGGATATCTCATTTTGAAGAGAAGTCTTTGCTCTAACCTACTGAATAATGGAAAAAATGTTTGCATTAGGTTTTTAAAAAATAGGATTTGGAGATCCTGGATTTCTGAGAAACCTTTTTTTAAGCAGGATTCAAGTTAAGTTGAACTTTTTTGAATAATATATATACACACATCGAATTCGGCGCTGTACGAACCTATCCTCAGATTTATTGTACCTACTAGAGTTCACGAGAAAGAACAAGTTTGTCTCTAGACTTTTTTCTCTCACTTTAGGTGTTGTGGTTGAAAAACAAAAAGATGAATAATCCGACCGTTGATATATCGAGTAACATATTGGATTATCTAAATATATTGACTACTGTATTGGGTTACCTAGCTAGGATTGCCCGATATTCGATACTTTTTATTCGCTTGGGTGCACATGACATTAGTGATCTTTATCAAATGCTGATGCAAAATGATTAAATAGTACATGATTAAAAATTCTCGAATTTCATTTTACATTTATCTATTGACTTATCGCTAATATCAATGGCAATATCGTCCAATGCTAATATTTTCGAAGTTAACACAACTTTTAATAGACATAATGGATCGTAGTGCGAGAAGAACCCAACAGCATGTAGATGGAAGACATAGGTCTAATGAACTAGCAACTAATCCACGTACTTAAAAACGCACAGCGTACGATCAGAGAAAACTTAATTATGTAAGCCTTTTGGAGAAAGTTGTGAACAAAATAAATGCTCTTCTGCATCACATACACTACTATCCTATTCTTCTTATTTCCTAATTTTCTGCAAACAGAGTAGAATACGTTCTATTCCGTTAAATAATGCACCTTTACATGAACTAGCGCTCTCAAGGTACATTATCAACATGTACGGATAAACGAAGCAGCACTGTCTTACTTTTTCTGTTCCTTTCAATATGATTTTCATGAAAGAAAAAAAAACCCGCTATTACATTCAACAGAACAATAATATTGATGCTACTTTTTCCTCAATATTTAACATGATAAACAGACAAAATATGCTATTTTTTCTTAGCTGATAGCAGAATAGAGCATCCACATATCGAACATTGAACATTGTGCCAATTGTATGTTTCTAATATCCAATCAATACTGACATTGATTACTGGCGATGGCATTTCTAATTCAATCGTATATTTTAATAATGTTGGAACTAAGCTCATAATCATTCGACCATCGAGTAAAGCTAAATGACTAGCATCACCATTTATTTCTAATATTTTTAAATTCGGCATGGATTTCAATACTATTGATATATCACAACATAATACTTCAAAAATACATATTTTAAGATGTTTTAATAAAAGAACCATTGGTAATGATAATGCTTCGACTGATGATAAATGATGAACTTCAAAGGGTGGATAAAGTCTTAAATTTAAATATATTAATTTTGGTGAATGAATAAATAGCCAAGAAAGTACATCCTTTGAACAAGAGATTGTTAAATTTTCAATATTATGACATGATTGTGAAGATGAATCATAGCTAGGTACAAAAGCATTGAGAAACATGAATTTTCTCAACTGTGGTAAATAATTTTCAAATAAAATCATTTTTATAATATTATCATGATATATTCCTACTAATCGTATTTGATTAATATATAATGTTGTGAGTTTTGATACATTTTTCAATTCTAATATTAAACGAGTTAGATTCTCAATTGAGTATATACCACCAATTATTATTAATGATTCAAGACGATGAAATTGTGAAAAATTACAGATAGATAATAGTAAGAGTAATTTTATATTTTGTTGATTTTCATCACTTTGAAATTTTAATGATACTAAATGATTACCTATAATTGAAAGATTTTGTTCAAAATACGAATGAAAGAATTGAGCGGGAATATATTTTGTTGTTTGAGTTAAACGAAGACGTTTATCAGTCAGTATTTGATTAAAACGTTCATTAATATTCCAAAACGATTTAAATACAGAATAAAAATCGAGAAATTCATAAATTTCCATATGAATTTCGTTGCATAAATCTTCATATTTTGTCATTGGGGTCATTCAAAAGCTAAAATTAAAAAAAGTCTTTTCTCTAAAATAATATGAAGAAAAAAAATCATGAAGACAAGACACATTATAGTGGATCGATGGTGAACATATATCTCCTTCGTTAGATAATATTCTCATTCAAGAGAGTGAAATAATCATAATATTGAATAAATTAAATTTCTTCACTAATACACAAAATTTAAAAAACAGTAAAGCACTATGTTCGAAAGATGGATGTCTAGTTTACTCATGTTGTCAAAAACAAAATTGACTTGATTTTGGACAATTTTTCAACAAAGGGTATGTATTTTTTTGATCACCAAATTTCTTTCTATCGAAATAATTATCAAATCAATTAAAGAAAATTTAAATTCAAGGAAATATATACAAGAAGAATATATACCAATTTAATACTAAATTAATTCGTGAACAAACAACAAAAAGAATATTTTAAAGTAAAAATGAAAAATATTACATACAATTAGATCGTCCGATGAAACGAAAGAGTATACAAAATTACAGTTTAATGTTTCCCAATATTGTTGATCAGATTAAAAAAACAAAAAGATCATACAAAATATTCATTTAAATGCAGTGAATATAGAAAGTATCCGTTTTGTCATATTATGCATAGGTCGCATCAAAATTCAGATTTCTTATTGTTTTGTACACTTTACAAACACTCTTGACTTGTTGTATAAATACTCACAGAAGCAACCATCCTGCTCTCCATCCCGCACACAGTTCCAAGAAATTTTCACAACAAAAAAGAACAATTTATATATCTATATTATAGATTCGCACGTTATGTTTTTTACTTTGCTGCGCAAACGACCTATGCATACTATGACAAAACGAATACTTTCTATACTCACTGCATTTGAATGAATATTTTGTATGATTTATTTTTTAATCTGATCAAACAATATTGGCAAACATTAAACTGCTATTAAACTGCGCTCTAGCTGTGTGTAATATTTTTCATTCTTGTTTCTTTTTGTTGTCTGTTCACTAATTAAATTAATTTGATATTTAAATTAGTATATAATCTTCTTGTATATATTTTCTTTAATTGGTTTGGTGATCAAAACACACTTTTCTCTTCAATAAAATGACAATTAATCATGATTTTAACTAAAATTTCCTTCTCCATATCAGCAATTTCTTTAAGAAATTTTGATTAATAATATCAACTGGTGATTAATTGGCTTCCGAGAAAAATTAGAGATATATTTCAATTTATCGACAATTATAATTAAAATTGTGATTCATTGTCAATTTAAATGAAAAATATGTCTTTTTTATAATTTCTTTATGATTTTGTGACAACAGTTTTCTATACTTTTTTGTTTTATTCTTGTATTGTTTTATTAGTTGTTTGATTTATTCTTGAAGAAAAAAAGGATAGAGATGAATGTGCGATAGTTCGAACGGAGTCATTCTAGATGTGCAAACTTAAATATGTATCAAAAAAGTTGCGAGTCATTACTGATTATTTATGATTAATTGATAAAATCGCTTAAAAAATCGACGATTTAAAATGTTCGGTTATTTAAAACTATTAGTTTATAATTATCATAATTCGTTCATGCATTTTTACATCTAACTTAAAAATTTGAATAGTAACAATAATAGAAATAATTGGCAGATCAATAAATTCTACGATAGGATTCTAATCGGATCACAATATCTTATAGAATTCTACTGGAGGATCTTGCAGGATCGGAGATGATGAAAATTCAATTATTATCCTATTTACATAGGTTTTCTCTTCTTCTCTCACATTTTAAATTGTGTACGAATGAACAGTTGTTAGTCTTCAAGGATTTTTTACTTGGGAAGAAAAATGACATAAATAAATAATTAGAGAAACAAAGACATAGCAAAAAAACATAGGCGTGTAAGTTAGTGTAAATAAAATAAAAAAATATTTATCTTCGGTCGCACGTATGAATACATTTTACCATCGGAGATTTTGAATATTTGTAAATAAATTCGTCCGCGTAATTACTTCCGAGAACAATAATAATTTTCATTTCTTCATCATCACAGAGATGGACAAGTTCTCTGTTTTTCAGTTTGCGTTAAATCTCAGTCCTATAAACATCAGTCCGAGCCAAAAATATTTTCTCATTCGCTCCTATGATTACCTCTTGTATCTTTTTACCGAAATGACACTGTTTCTTTAAATGTCTATATCAAAGATTTTTCTCTACACTAAAACCCAAAAAGGACTGATCTGAAAACTCAGTCACAGTCTCAGTCCGATTAAAAAAGCTTATCAGTCTGAACAAGGACTTGTTCACCAAAAAATGTTCATACACTTGTACACATGTAACTAGACTGAAAATATTATTTTGTCATTATTTGTAGACAGATTTTATTCATGCGAGAACAATGCGTGGACAAATGAAAAGTGATGATGATGAAGAACAGAAAAAAAACCTATTTCTTTTTTATATGCGCTCACTCTCTAAAATGTTCCTATTGAAGTTTTTTAACCACTCATAATCAATTCGAATAACTGAAAAGCTTCAAGATATAATTAATTATTTTTAAAAAAAAACTGATTATGATATCCAAAGTTATAAATAATTTGCATTGATTATAAGTTTTTCGAAATTAAGTAAGAAAGTAGTCGAAAATTGTATAGTTTTGTACACCAATCCTTTTTCTCAAAAATTAATCGTAATCCATAGATTCACATTGTCATGAAATGAAACTACTTTGATTTTGAAGAGGACACTGAAGAAAAAAAAATTTCGCCGTGCGACCAAAAATAACGAAAAAAAATTTTAATTTTCGCTGGGAAGAAAGAACAGATTTTTATTTTTGGAGGAGTGTATACTGTTCCCTCCCCCAAAAAGCATGTATACTTATATATTGTCGACGCATCAGAATAGAAATGTGTGTTTCAATATATGTGTCAAAAAGGAGGAAGTAGAAAAGATGATCGTTGTGGAAAGAGATTAGATCAAGAGTATATTCCATTCTGAGTAATAAAAGGTTAAGCTTTAATTTCCCAATAAATTCGACTAAAATTTGTTAAAAATTTTTGTTAGAAAAAATAGTTGCCGGGTGCTTCACAGACATTTAATCGAACACAACAGAATCCGATGTCGTTTTTCGACCTCTTTCTAATGGTGAGGTCAATTTTTTTTCCATAACGTCGTCCTTTTTCCCTTAATCGTATTTACGATGAAATTTTATCTTAAATCCCGATCGGAATATTAATTTTTTTCTATATCTTGACTTTGATTAGGATATAACGGGTGACCCAGAATAGATGGCGGTCTCAATATTTTTCGTTTATTTCTTTCAATTTTTATTGTTGATACTTGTGCTTCTTCTTAAAAGATTCGTTATTTTATTCTCTACAAAGCACATATTGAACGATGTTTTATATACCGTATAAATAAAAGAATCTAGATGAAATACTGCGAAGCTTCAAATTTCCATTACTTTCCAATCTAAAAAAAAACAGTTTTTCAATTCTAGTTCTTTGTATTTTGCGATACAGAATAAGAGAAGATGACTGTTTTTTAGCCCTTGAAAAGCTCTATCAATTGGATATGTTTAAAATTCTTCATAATTGCAATTGATTGAGTGAGAAGTTTTTGTTTATATCGATTTTATCAAAAAATCGCAGTTCAGTTTTGGTGGCATTGTTGAAAATTTTTATAAATCGGCTAAAATCAAATATTTTGAGGTCTGGTTTGTCTTATCTTAAAGCAAAATAATTCTTTTATTACATCTGAACAGAGGACGTTCGATACCTCCATTTTTTTGCAATAACAAGGCGAAAAGGTGAAAATTTTCCTGTTTTTTGATAGACTGTAGTAAAATTGCCTTTTGTATCAGAAAAACACGTTCAAAGCCAACCTCCGATACTCGAGGCATCAGAACACACATTTTGATTCTATTTTGATGTATAGCATCATGTTCAAAATAAATATCTTTTCGTTGTGTTTTGGGGTTTTGAAATGGAAATTGAAGCTTCGTAGTATTTCATCTAGATTCTTTTATTTATACGGTATATAAAACAATATTAAATATGTGCTTTGTAGAGAATGAAATAACGAATCTTTTAAGAAGAAGCGCAAGTATCAACAATAAAAATTGAAAGAGATAAACGAAAAATACTGAGATCGCCATTTATTCTAGGTCACCCATTATATCCCAATCACGATATCAGTTCCCTTACTGTTAGAATAGAAGATCTTGGCCTCTTATGATTTAACATAGAGATTTTTTTTCAAAAAAATTGTCCAAAGGGTGATTTTGAAAAAACGTCGTACCAAACTTGCCTTCTCTTCTGAGAAGGAGTTTATTGCCTGACAGTGAACTTCTGCGATATCTTAAGATTCTCTTATTATAAGATTTTATAGAATTCTTATCATACGATTACGTATAATGCTGTTTTAGGATCACATAGATAATCTTATATTCAGATCTGTTATTGAATATGATAGGATTTAGTAGAATTCTATGATCGAAATTCTACCATGTCTTATCCTTAGATGTGATAGAATCTTGAGAAAATTTTTTGACCTGAGTAAATCTATATGTTGAATCATACCGATTAATTTGAATGATTTTGAGAGAAACCAGTTTTGTTGATAAACCCAACTTATGACACAACACATATTAAATAACATTCAATAGTTAAATCTTCGAGATTATTTGTTGTCAGATATCTTCAATTAATAGAATAAAGTTGTAGAAGATTGTCAGTGTACATGAAATGGGATAAAATGTTTTCGTATAACAATAATTCGATTGTTTATATAACATAGCACTTAATTAGCTATTTCTTGATCAATGTTTATGAACAATTGAATTTGTTGAAATTCTTCCAAATAATATAATAATAGAAAAAGTGAAAATTTGTTCGTTGCCATTATAGCAAGATGAATCGACAACGATTTTATTTAGTTGAATTTTTATATCATAGTCATAATATTATTCTCTGACATTGAAAAGGTGTGTATCCAATGTTAAATGTATATGTT